AGAGATCCGCATAGCACAGAGATGCACGGGAAGAGCTTAACACAAACATATTCAACACCTTATAGCCCCCATACAAACGGAGAGGCATGCCAGGGGACCCTCACGGAGACACAGGTGTGTGCCATACAGCCTGGGGCACAGCATCCTCCACGCACAGCGTCGGTCACACAAACACAGCCATAGCACACACTAATACAGGGATGGCAAGCATCGACATGTCAGTGCAACCTGTGGAAACCCCCCTACATCACAGCCAGGGTCAGATTCTGGTCTCACCTGCACCGCTCAGCCCGATTGAACACGGCTTATCCTGCCCTCGTCCTGGCCGGGTCTTCCTCCCACCTCACTAGTCTCTCTCCTAGCTGACTCCTCCTTCCTGAGACCCCTCAATGTTGGTGCATCCAGAACGCAGGCTTCAGATAGCTTCTCTTCTCTCCCTGCCTCCAGGTGATCTCACCCGCTCCCGGGGGGTTTCAATCCATCTTGTGTGTTGAGGACCCTCAGTCACATTTCCAGCCCAGACTCCTCAGAGCTCCGCCTGCCTGTCTGGCACTTCCAGCCAGATAGCTAATGGAGATCTCAAATCCAACTATCTAACAGGAAACTCGCTCCCCACTAAGCTTTCCTCAGGTGCTCAGGCCCTTGTCCTACATTCCTCTTTCCCTCACCTCCACGTCCAGTGCAGGAAGTCCTGCTGATCCCCTCTTCAGAACACCGCCTGAATCTGGTCCTGTCTCACCTCCCCCATCCCAGGCCAAGCCCTAGGCCATCGCTGCCTGCTCACTGCTCCCTGCTTCCCTTCTTGCTGTGACCTATCCTAGAATGAGCCCCACAGGGATCTTTCCAAAGCCCGTCACCGAACCATGACACTCCCCTGATTAACCCTCCAGGGGTGCCCCGCTACACTTACAATAACATCCAAGGTCTTCCACAGAGTCTGCAAGTCCCTTCGCAATCAATCACTGTCCCCCATGCCTCTCCCCCCCCCCCGGGGGAAAGAGGTGCCCCAAGCCTGCTCCTACCCCAGGAGCCCTTGTTCCTGCCAGACACCATCCCCCAGACCCCCAGCCTGGCTCCCCGCTGTCAGGATTCAGGTCTCACCCCAGATGTCCCTCCTGAGAGCCGCCCTCAGGTGTTCTCCATCACCCTCTGAGCACTCAGCAGCCTCCGAGATTATCTTCTTTGTGTATTGTCTCTCCGACTCTGGGTCAGCTCCACAATCTGTGTCTGTTGGGTTGACTGCTGAACCCCCATTACTAGGCAGTGCTGGGCAGACGCTCTCAGTTAGCATTAGCTGACACTGTATGGATTTATACACAGATATACCCACACCACAAAAACGCTCAAGCAGATACAACACAAACATAGACACAAATATACAGACACGGGCAGAAATACCTCCACACATGCTCACAACACAGGTTAAACACCCAAGAGTCCCTTTCCCATCCCCATCAGAGTCAGTCCTAGTCTTTTCCCCAGCTAGCTCTGCCCTCTGCCTGAACCCAGTCTCTGGACTGGGAGTGGGGGTCTCCAGCCTGGACAGAGTGGGGGGTCACTGGCCCACAGGCCTCGGGCTGCGCCTTCAGCTATGTCTGCAATTTCCTCTCCCCCTTCCTTCCCTCCTCCTCTCTAAGGCTCCCGCCAAGAAGGCCTCCCCCTCACCCTAGCCCAGGAAAGGGGGCCCCAAAGCGGGGGTGGGAGTCGGGGTGGCCTGTGAGTCTGGGCGGCCTGTGAGTCTGGGCAGGAAGAAGACCCGGGCTGCACACACTGATCACACAACACGTTGCATGAACAAGCCTGAGCCCAGGTGGAAACGCATGCGTGTGCATGGGCAGGTTTAGCCAGGAGCAGAACGCATCTCTGCCGCAGCACAGCATGGGGGCCAGCAGAGGCCCCAGGCAGCGTTCTGCAAGGCTGGCCTGGCCCTGGCTCAAAGCCGGAGTCCAACATTCATTAACCTTGCTTGACCAGAGCTCCGCCAGCTGGACACACTCACCGGGAGGAGGGGATGAGCGCCTCCTCCCTCCGGGTGGGTTGAGGGTCTGGAGGAGGGTTGACATGGAGGGGGGGAAGGGGAGCAGTCTTCCCTGAGTGAGGGGGCCTTCTGGAGGGAAGAGCAAGGTATAGACAGCGAAAGAGCCCAGCCAGGCTCTAGGGTCAGAGAGCACTGGGTTCAACTTCTGACCGTTTGGTAGTTATTCAATTTCTCCATGACTCTATTTATCTGCCAAGTGAGGATATAATGACATCCACATCATAGGGTTGTTAGAAAGAGTAAATGAAAGAATATTGTAAAGGGTTTAGCCCCTTGCCTGGCACCGAGGCAGAACTTCATCGTCATTATGATTGTTGTTAGTAGTAGCCTGGGGGCGGGTCCCTGCACCCGGCCTCCCCAGCGATTTCCTGTGGGGGAGCAGACGCCCCGCAGGCCGCGCTCCCCCCTCTCCCAGCCGCTCGCTCCTCTCCCCTTCCCCTCCCGGCCCTTTTCCTCCCCGCCTCCCCGCCCCGCCCCGCCCCTCCTCTTTCCTCGGAGGAAACTTTCCGCCGGCTGGTCCATCGGCCCGTGTCCGGCCCGCGCTGCCGCGGCCTGGGAGCCGAGCCGGGCGGGCGGGGCGGCCGGGACCGGACGGGGCGGGAGCAGCCGGCCCCCGGGTGTATGCGGCCGCCAGGACGGACGCCGGACGCGCCGGGGCGGGCAGCTGGGAAGCGAGGCGCTGACGGTGAGTGAGCCCGGGCCTCCCGGCCGGTGGGTCCCCGCGGGGCGGGCGGGATGAGAGAGGGAAGCGGCCTCCCCGGAGCCCGCCCAGGGAGTGGGGGGTCACCCGCGTCTCTCTCCCCCATCCTGCTCCCCGGATGGCGAAACTGGGCCTTATCTGGGGACCCCACAAGGAGGCGGAGCCTTCTGCGGCCCACTCCCCTGACCCCAGGTTGGAGGGGCATCCGCGCCCTGGAGAAGGATCCCCCAGACAGGGCCCAGGTCTACAGCGAAGTTAGAGAGCCGCTCTCTCCAGGGTGGAACCTGGGGCTACTCTTCCAGAGAGAGGAGCTGCCCCGAGGAGGAAGCGGGGTCAGGGTCAGCTCTAGGCTGGGGAGGAGGATCTGACCTTGCTGACCTCGCAGGCTGATAGGGGCGCTCTCCCCCCAGAGCAGCATGGATGCCCCCCGAAGGGACATGGAGTTGCTCAGCAACAGCCTGGCTGCCTACGCACACATCCGCGGTGAGTGCGGCCCCGAGGCCATGCACCCCTCCCTGCCGCTCTCAACCCCTCCCCCCCCCGCCCTTCTAACCCCCCTTAGCCAGTCACCTACTCCCAATTCCTCCATCCTCACTGCCCCCCATTGCCCGATAGCGGCTACCTAATGTCCTTCAAATAGGGGGTACTGTCCTTGCCCCCCAAACTAAGAACCTGGAGTCTTTTCCAGATGGAATGACTCCTACCCGCCAGGGCCCCTCCATGACTTCTGCCCTCTGACCCCCAGCTAACCCCGAGAGCTTCGGCCTCTACTTCGTGCTGGGCGTCTGCTTTGGCCTGCTGCTAACGCTGTGCCTACTAGTCATCAGCATCTCCTGCGCGCCCCGCCCGCGACCCCGGGGCCCCGCTCTGCGCCGGGACCCCCGCGGCAGCACGCTGGAGCCCGAGGACGACGACGACGACGACGACGACGACGAGGAGGACACGGTGACGCGGCTGGGCCCCGACGATACGCTGCCGGGCCCCGAGCTGTCCGCGGAGCCGGACGGGCCCCTGAGCGTCAACGTCTTCACGTCGGCGGAGGAGCTGGAGCGGGCGCAGCGCCTGGAGGAGCGGGAACGGATCCTGCGGGAGATCTGGCGCACCGGACAGCCGGACCTGCTGGGCACCGGCACACTGGGGCCCAGCCCCACGTCCACGGGCACCCTGGGCCGCATGCACTATTACTGACCGGCCCCCGCTCCCGCTTCAAGGCGCTCTGGGCACTGGACGTGCACACGAGCTCAGAGCTGCCCCAGGACCTTCGGACTGCCCCTGCGCACGGTGCTACGGAGGCCCCGCCCCCACGGCTCCCTCGGTGCTATCGGGCATGGATCCCCACCCTCTGGGAGGCAGCCTTTCCCAGTCCTGCCAGACGGCCCTGGGGGGAGAGCAGGACGCAGGGTCCCCACCCCTTCTCTGGGGGACGATTAAGAGGTGAAGTGACCAATGAAAGCTGCATTCTCAGTGACTCAGTCTCCCTCTGTTACCCCTGCCCCTAATGGCCCCAGGGCTGAGACCCCACTCGATCCTTTACCAGGCTGACCACCTCCATCCACCGTCCGACACCTCAGCACACGTTTGCGTTCCCTTCACAGATGGCAAAAACACACGCCTAAAAACACACGCCTGCACCCGCTTCACCACCTCACTACAGCCTCACACACAGAACAAGCATCACTCGCATTCCTTACTCACAAAGCATTCCTTACCGGCAAACGCGGGCACACGTCGCCCGTCCCTACAAATGCCCTGGGTTCACGCATCACTGCAATCACATGCACATACACCCCCGGCCCCGGGACCCTGACCTTGACCCTAAGGCGTTATTAGCCCCAGTGTAACCATATGTGCCTGAACTGGGGTGTAGAGTGTCTGAGCCGAGGTGCGTTCCTGTGACTTCTGAGCGGACAGTGGAGCCAACTGGGAGGGTCCGGGCTCGAGAGCAGGCCCGCCCGGCCCCTCCCCTGACGCACAGCTGGATTCCGGAATCCGGGCCGGCGGGCAGAGACCGACCCCGCCGGGGCCCCTCCTGTCCGCCATCTCCAGCGCGGGGCTGACGTCCGAAGGGGGCCTCTCAGCCCCCCCGGCCCCCAGCCATCCGGTGGATAAAAATAGCCGCGCGCAGGCCTTGGGAACGGTAATGGGAGCCACATGTTGGCCAGATGTGCCCGGGAGAGACCGCCAGGAATGCGGACGGCCGGCCGCGCCAGGCCGGCCCCGCCCCCGCCGCGCAGGCCCCGCCCCCGCACGGACCAGGCAGGCGCCGCGCGCGTCCACAGCCGAGTTTACTTTCTTGCATTTCCCAAAGTGGTGTGCAAGGCCGTGGGTGGCCGGAGCCAGACTTCCCTCCCAGTCCCGCCGTAGTCCCTCCCGGGCCCACCCTCAGAGCGTCTGCGTCTGCGCGTGGATGGCGCCCCGGGTCCCGGACTCACGGGTCCTCCGCTTCATCTGAACCTGGTCGGGAGAGGGCGTCAGGGGAAGGCCAGCCGCCAACCCCCTCCCCGCCCGGGGTCCGCGCCCCACCCACCTCCAGCAACTGGCGCTTCTCCCTCTCGCTCTTCAGCTCCTCCCAGATGTCGGTCAGCTTCCTTCTGCGGACGCGAGACCGAGGGGAGGGGGTGGGCCGGGCAGGCTTAGAAGCCCCGTCCCTCTCCTCCCACACCCCTCCCTGCCCCTCCCCACTTACTCCAGCTGCACCCCCATCGTCTCCAGCGACCTTCTTAAAGATGTCACCTCGTCCTGTAGCCTCATTACGTCGTCCCTGTCACTTTTGTTGTCCGTAGGATTTTGCGGGACCAGGGAATGGAGGGTGGGAGTCCCTTGGGGATCTGGAGTTGTCTTGATAGGATGTGGATTCTTTTCAGCACTGGCTGCCTCTTTGGGGGGCGCCTCCTCTTTCAGGATAGTCTCTTCCTTCGCAGGTGCCTCCTCGAGGTGGGTGGTAGCCTCTTCCTGGGGGTGGGCCTTCTCAAGGGCAGGCATGGACCCTGGTGTGGACTCACACTGGAGTGGGGAGCTATCCTTCTTATCCAGGGCGTGTTTCTTCATACAGAGGGGGGGCTCCTCTCGCATACAGACCTCCTCTTGGGATTGAGCCTCTCTGGCCACAAGAGACTTGACCTTTGGCACAGCTTCCTCCGGAGAGAAGTGATGGAACTGAGTGTTGTGTCGGGTGGACGCCTCTTCAGAGAGCACCTGCTCTGGGGTCAAGAACTTTTCTAGGGTGGGGGCCTCGTCCCCAGGAGGGGCCATCTTTGGGCTGGGGGCTTCATCTTCAGGTAGGACTTCTGGGGCAAGGGCCTCATCCACAGAAAAGACCCTGTCTGGGCTGGGGGCCTTGTCCTCCAGAGTTGGAGTCTCCTCTAGGATAGGGACCTTGTCTGGAGTCAGGGTTTCCTCTGGAGTGGGTTTCTTATCTGGAGATGGGGTCTTCTCTGGGCTGGGGGCCTTATCCAGAGACGGGATCTCCTCTGGGGTGGGGGTCTTGTCCTCCAGAGTTGGGGTCTCCTCTAGGGTAGGGACCTTATCTGGAGTCAGGGTTTCCTCTGGAGTGGGGGTCTTATCTGGAGACCGAGTCTTCTCTGGGCTGGGGGCCTCATGTGGAGATGGGGTCTTTGGCATGGGGGTCTTGTCCAGAGTGGGGGTTTTATTCACATGAGGGGCCTTTGCTAGGCTGCTCTGCTCTTCCTCCTGTGGTGATGGGAGTGAGGTCTTATCTGAGGGCTGAGAAGCTTCACCATTTGAGTCTGGTTCCCCTTGGCCTGGGTACCTTCACCCTCGCACACCATACCCCTGGAACCAGACTCTGCCCAGTATCCCTGCTCTCCCATGTCTCGGGCCTCTCACCTGACTGGTTGTGGAGTGTTGCCAGGAAGTCTGGGTTTTGGATCGCTTTCTGCCAGGGTGGCCTGGACCCCCACTGAGGAAGCTGCCACTGGAGCCTATGAGAGCAGAACCTCAGGGGCCCAGGCCTACTCAGACCCTGAGTCTCTCCCCATCCCTGTCCCCCGTCTTCGCCCACTGGAGGGAGGCAGTGAGACTTACCATTGTCTCGAGAGGGGCGCTTCTGACTGTCCCTGCTGGGTGTCCAAGATGGCCTGGAACATATCCCCATCAGACCCAGAGGGTGGGGGCAGGGAGCAGCATTGCCTTTGTACCCTCCTCCTCCTCCCACCCCCACCCTGCTCCTTACTTGGCTTTGCTGGGCCCAGTGGGGGCTGTCACCAGCTTCTTGACTATAGGGAGGGCTGTTTTGGGCACCATCTTTTTTGGTTCCTTAATAGGAGCTGAGAGGGGAGAGGGGAGTGTGGCATTCGTTCACTCACTTATCCATCTATCTAAGAGTCACTGGCCCTGTGCTGTGCACAGAGGACTAGGGCCAGGAGATGAATCATATTTGCCTCTGCCTCCTGGGAGCTCTGGGGAAGCTGACCACACCTCATGCCACATGGGCATAGTGAACTGTGGGAGCACCCCCCAGGGACACCTAGCAGACAGTTGTCAGGGAAAGCTTTGTAGGGAAAATGGCTCCCTCCATCTCCTGCCAGTTTTTTGTTTCTTGTTTTTTTGTGTGTCTGTGAGGAAGATCAGCCCTGGGCTAACATCCATGCTAATCCTCCTCTTTTTGCTGAGGAACACTGGCTCTGAGCTAACATCTATTGACAGTCCGCCTCCTTTTTTTCCCCAAAACCCCAGTAGATAGCCGTACGTCATAGTTGCGCGTCCTTCTAGTTGCTGTATGTGGGACGCGGCCTCAGCATGGCCGGAGAAGCAGTGCGTCGGTGCGCGGCCGGGATCCGAACCCGGGCTGCCAGCAGGGGAGCGCGCGCACTTAACCGCTAAGCCACGGGGCCGGCCCCTCCTGCCAGTTTTTATCCATACTTTTCTAAGACCTGTCCCCTGCTTAGTGGCCATGGCTGCTTCCCTGGTTCAGCTCCCATCTCTTTCCTGGACCACGGCAATAACCTTCCCCCTTCCAATCCTCCCTCCCTTGAACTTTGTCTTCTCTATCTCATTTACTCCCTAAGAGATCTCATCCAGTCTTATAAGTTTAATTAATATCAATAAGCCAACGACTCCCAAATTTTCATTTCTAGCCCCTGCCTCTTCCCTGAACTCCAGACTCATATCCGACTGTCCTCTCAATATTTCCACTTGAAAGAGAGCTAATTGGCATCACACACGTCACATATCCAAAAGTTATCTCTCTCTTTTTTGTTTTCTTTTGTGAGGAAGATCAGCCCTGAGCTAACATCCATGCCAATCCTCCTCTTTTTGCTGAGGAAGACTGGCCCTGCCAATATCTATTGGCAATAGATATTGCCAATCCTCCTCCTTTTTTCCCTTTTTCTCCTCAAAGCCCCAGTAGATAGCTGTATGTCATAGTTGCACATCCTTCTAGTTGCTGTACGTGGGGCGCCGCCTCAGCATGGCTGGACAAGCAGTGCGTGGGTTCACGCCCGGGATCTGAACCCAGGCTGCCAGTAGCAGAGCACGTGCACTTAACCGCTAAGCCACGGGGCCGGCCCCCCAAAACTCATCTCTTGTTTCCCAGCTCCTTGACCCCTGAATCTGCCTGTTTCCCAGTGTCCCCATCTCACCCATTCACCCACTTGCTCAGACAACAAAATGAGGAGTCATCCTTGACCCTCTTTATTCCCTTATGCTTCACATCCAAACCATCAGTAAATCCAGTCCACTGTACCTTCAAAACATGTCCTGAATCCAACCACTTGTCACCCCTTCTGCCACTAAGCACTCTAGATCAAGTCAACACCATCTTCACCTGGATAATTGCAACAGCCTCTAACCTGGGCTTTGGCTGCACTCGCCCTGCCTATGGTGTGTTCTTCCCATGGCAGCAGAGAGAGGGAAGCAGACATAGACAAAAGAAGTAGACTATGTAGTGTGTTCGAGAGTTATTAACTCTTATTGAGCAAGAATAAGCAGGGGAGTGGATAATTTTAAATGGGGTGGTCAGAGGCGGCCACACTGAGAAGGTGACATCATAGTCACACACAGTGGCATTCATCTCCATGGACACATGAATAGCCACTCTGGCATATGCACACATGCTGGCATTTAGTCACACACACATTATCACACACAGAGACAGACACAAGTCTCCTGACAGCGTGTCATAGTGGGCAGGAGCATGGATCCTACAGCCAGATACCAGGCTTTGAATTCCTGCTCCATTACTTGCCAGTGGCGTGAGAACTTGAGTAGGTAACTTAACCCCTCTGTGCCCCAGTGTTCTCACCAATAAAGCATGGATAACAATAGTACACATCTTGTAGGCTTGTTGTGAGGTCTGAGTGATTTATCCATGTGAGGTGCTTAGAAGAGGGTTTGGCATATAGTCAAAGCCCAGCAGATGTCAACTTTCACCTCTGCTTCTTGTAGTATGGCTGATGAGGTGCTCTGTAGGGCCCTCCTACTAGAAAACAATTATATCCTGCTTGGGATACAAATTTGAGGCACTGTTGGACTTACAAGAGGTAGGGGAGATCTACAAAAAAGGGAAGAACTGGGACCAGAAAGGTGGTGAGAGTGTGACCAGGGAACCAGGCAAAGAAAGAGTTACTAAGGATCTGGTTAACAACTAACCTAATCTGTCAAGTGTTTTTAAGACAAAAAGAAACTATGTGTTCTGTTTTATAGATGTTGCTGTCTTGCAGAAAAATCACACATTTACAGAAAGATCCCCACAAATTATTCCAGCATCAGACGCCCTAAAGTTACCTTAACTCATTAGCATCTTAAATTCTCCTCCTCTGGAAGGGTCCAAACAGACATTTTTAGATCATGCAATGCATGTAATAACATATATACGTGCTACGCAACATGTATACGTGCTACGCATGCACCTTAAAAGAACACAGTCCTTAAAAGAACACAGCTGTTACAAATAAACCCCAATCTTTTGTATGAAGTCTCTAACAGCACTGAGCTCGGGGAGACACTGCTTTGGGAGTTGTCCCCAGTGTTCATTGCTTGTGCAAGCAATAAACCTTCCTTCACCTACTTCTGCCTTGGTTGTGCTTTTTGGCTCTGCACTCACCAAGAGATGAACCCAGTGAGTTCAGTTACAAGAGAACAGCACTGCTATGTGGCTACTGAGCCTGGGGCCTGGGACAAGGAGCAAGTGTCCCAGGCTCTGCTCCCTCGGCTCACCAAAGGCCCAAAGCTCGGTAGCCATACAGCAGTGTGACCCTTGCACACTTTCTTCCAGAGGGCTGAAGTGGTCTCTGGGTGGTTGGTGCCCTCTAGCTACTGGCAAAAGTAGAGGCAAGTCCTCTCTGGAAGAAGTCTTCCTCTACTGAGGCGTGCAAGACTCCCACAGATCGAGATCAGGTCATGAGCTCACACACAAAGATCAGAAAACACACGAAGGCAGGCCACTGAGAACGGGAGTCAGCAGACACAACACAGAGCAGACACTGGAATTGTCAGGTAGGGAACACAACACAGCTATGTGTAAGATATTTGAAGAAATAAAGGATGAGCATGCAACAAAGGGACCATCAGGAATAAACGGGCAGATTTGGGGAAAAAAAAATTGAACTATGAGAGATGAAAAAAAGCATTCTTGAAATAAAATGTAATGTACAGGTTAAACAGCAGATTAAACATAGCCAAAAAGCTAGAGAGAGAATTAGTAAACTAGAAGTATAGTGAGACAAGGAGTGAAAAATTTGAAAGCAATGTTAAAAGAAACGGATAATAGAAGTGGGGCTTGACTATGGCTGAGTGAGGTGGTGGACGCATCCTCCTCTCACAAGGCAACCATTTCAGTGCTCCGGAAATTGACCAAAGGCAAAAGATCATCAAAGAAACATTTATGCTTGGCGGTATTCTTGCCTAGGGCTGCACCCTTCCCCGCCCCCTAGCTTGGTCCATGTGAACATTCTGCAGGGTGGGGCAGGTTGTGAGGATCGGTAGCTCCCCTGCCATGGTCAAACGGAGCTCACTCAATTTTGGGGTGTAACCTTGATTTCCTAGATATGACACCAAAAGCACAAGCAACCAAAGAAAAACCAGATAAATGGGACTTCATCAAAATTTGAAACTTCTGTGCATCAAAGGACACGACTGGTGCCAGCCTGGTGGCATAGTGCTTAAGTTCGCATGCTCTGCTTCAGCAGCCCAGGGTTTGCAGGTTCGAATCCTGGAGCGCAGACCTATGCATGGCTCATCAAGCCGTGCTGTAGCAGCGTCCCACATACAAAATAGAGGAAGATGGGCACAGATGTTAGCTCAGGGCCAATCTTCCTTACCCAAAAAAAAAGTACACCACCAAGAAAGTGAAAAGACAACCCAAAGAATGGGAGAAAATATTTACAAATCATTTATCTGATAAGAGACTTTTATCTAGAATATATAAAGAACCTACAACTCAATGGTAAAAAGACAACCCAATTAAAAAATGGGCAAAGCACTCAAATAGACATTTCTCCAAAAGAAGACATACAGATAGCCAGTAAACATATGAAAAGATGCTCAATATCATTAGCCATCAGAGAAATGCAAAGCAAAACCACAATGAGAGGGGCCGGCCCCGTGGCTTAGCGGTTAAGTGCGTGCGCTCCAATACTGGCGGCCCGGGTTCGCATCTCGGGCGCGCACCGACGCACTGCTTCTCCGGCCATGCTGAGGCCACGTCCCACATACAGCAACTAGAAGGATGTGCAGCTATGACATACAACTATCTAGTGGGGCTTTGGGGGGAAAAAAAAGGAGGAAGATTGGCAATAGATGTTAGCTCAGAGCCGGTCTTCCTCAGCAAAAAGAGGAGGATTAGCACAGATGTTAGCTCAGGGCTGATCTTCCTCACAAAAAAAAAAAAACCACAATGAGATACCACTTCCTACCCACTAGGATGATTATAATCAAAAAGACAGATAATAACAAGTGTTGGTGAGGACAAGGAAATTGGAACCTGCATATATTGCTGGTGGAAATATAAAATGGTGCAACCACTTTGGAAAACCCAAAGTTAAACAAAGAGTTATCATATCACCCACCAATTCCTTTCCAGGGTATATACCCACGAGAGATGGAAATATGTCCACAGAAAAACTTGTACATCAATGTTCACAGCCAAAAAGTAGAAACAACCCAAATGTCCATCAACTAATGAATGGATAAAATGTGGTGCGTTCATACAATGGAATATTATTCAACACCAAAAAAAATGAAGTATAACACATACTACAAAATGGATGAAGCTTGAAAACAAAAAGTATAATAGAAAATAGTTTTTAAAGTATTTAAATATATTAACAACTCTCTGGTGAGATTGAACAAGAAAAAAGAGAAAAATAAACATGATTAGAAATGAAAAAAAGACTATAACTGCAGATACAGATTATAAGAGAATATTATGGGGCCGGCCCTATGGCTTAGTGGTTAAGTGCGTGCGCTCCCCTGCTGGCGGCCCGGGTTCAGATCCTGGGCGCGCACCGACGCGCCACTTCTCCGGCCATGCTGAGGCCACGTCCCACATGCAGCAACTAGAAGGATGTGCAACTATGACATACAACTATCTACTAGGGCTTTGGGGGAAAAAAATAAATAAATAAAATTATAAAAAATAAATAAAAATAAAAAATTGAAAATAAAATAAGAGAATATTATGAATAATTTTACACAAATAATTAGAAAACATCAATTAAATGGATAATAAAAAATATATAACTCATTAAAACTGAATCAAGAATTTCAGCCAGATTTTTGGCCAGCCCTTCTTACGGAGGGACCAGGAGACAGAATGCTGTCTGTGCAAGTCTCCTAAGGTGCAAGATTTCTTCCCTTCTGAGTTCCAAGGTGAAGAGCAGTTGTAAAGGGGTCTTTGCAGATGTAATCAAGTTAAGATGCAGGTTGTACTGGATAAGAGTGGTCCCTAAACCAATGACTAGTGTCTTTATTAGAAGAAGGAAATTTGCACACAGACACACAGGGCAGAAGACCATGTGAAGACAAAGGCAGAGAATGGAGTGATGATGGATCTATAAGCCAACGATTGCCAGCAACTACCAGAAGCTAAGAAGAGGTAAGGCAAGATTCTCCGCTAGAACCTTCAAACAAAACATAGCCAGGCCATCAACTTGACTTTGGATTTCTAGCCTCCAGAATTGTGAGAGATTAAATTTCTGTCGTTTTAAGCCAAAAAAAAAAGACAGAATTTTAGCCAGACTTGCCCAGAACTATTAAAGAAATTAAAGTAGTTTAAAATCTTCCCATAATGGAAAAAAACAGGGCCAGATGAATTAACAGGCAAGTTTTACCAACTTTCAAGGAAAGATGATTCCCATCTTATATAAGATCTACCAGATAATTAAAAAACAAAATGTATCCTCCTTCACTCATTCCTGGGGCCAGTATAATATTGATAATCAGATGAAGACTGTAAAAATAAATGAAAAAATCTTAAGAAAAAAACTGGGGGCTGGCCTGGTGGCACAGTGGTTAAGTTCACGCACTCCACTTTGGCAGCCTGGGGTTCACAGGTTTAGATCCTGGGCGTGAACCTACTCACTGCTTATCAAGCCATGCTGTGGCAGGCGTCCCACATATAAAGTAGAGGAAGATGGGCATGGATGTTAGCCCAAGGCCAATCTTCCTCAGCAAAAAAAAAAGAAGATTGGCAACAGATGTTAGCCCAGGGCTAATTTTTCTCATGAAAAAAAAAAGAAAAGAAAAGAAAGAAAGAAAAGAAAAACTGGGAAAGTATTCCCACGGTATATGAAAAGATAATAAACAATGACCAATTTGAATTTATCCCAGGAATGCAAGGGTGGCTTAATATGAGAAAATTCTACAAATGTTATTCATCACATTGACAGATTAAAGGAGAAAATCCAGGGGTCGGCCCAGTGGTGTAGTGGTTAAGTGCATGGGCTCTGCTTCAGCGGCCCGGAGGTGGCAGTTTTGGATCCCGGGCGCACATCGACGCACCGCTTGGCAAGCCATGCTGTGCCGGCATCCCATATAAAGTAGAGGAAGATGGGCATGGATGTTAGCCCAGGGCCAATCCTCCTCAGCAAAAAGAGGAGGATTGGCAACGGATATTAGCTCAGGGCTGATCTTCCTCACAAAAAATAAATAAATAAATAAATAAATAAAATAAAGGAGAAAATCCATATAATCATTTCAAAAGATTCATAGAAACAATTTAGAAAACTTGACACCCACTCGATAAAAATTCTAAGTAACTAGAAATAGAAAGGACCTTCCTTGCCTGACAAAAGCCTGACAAAAAGATATGTACAAAAGATCGAAGCAACAACATTTTTTTTTTGTGAGGAGATCAGCCCTGTGCTAACATCTGCCAATCCTCCTCTTTTTTTTTTTTTTTGCTGAGGAAGACTGGCCCTGGGCTAACATCCGTGCCCATCTTCCTCCACTTTATATGGGACGCCACCACAGCACGGCCTGACAAGTGGTGTGTTGGTGCATGCCCGGGATCCGAACCGGCGAACCCCGGGCCGCCGCAGTGGAGCGCACACACTTAACCGCTTGCGCCACTGGGCTGGCCCCAACAACAACATTGTTAAAGGGGAAAACTTAGAAGCATTCCACTTAAAGTCAGGAACATGGTAATGATGTTCAGCATCACTACTTCTATTCAAAATTGTATTGAGATCCTAGCCACTGTAATAAAACAAGAAAATGTAAAAGGCATAAGGAGTGGAAAAGATAGAGCAAAATTTTCATTACTAACAGATGATATGACTGTCTTCATAGAAGACTTAGTAAGAATCTACAGATAAATTACTGGAAATAACCAGAGTTTAGCACCATGGCTGGCTATAAAATCAATATACAAAAATCAATGTATTTCTATATTCCTGCAATAAACAGAAGGATATCTATTTTTTTAAAGGCACAATAAAAAGTCTGAGGTATCTAGGAGGAATAAATCTTATAAAAGTTGTGTAAAACTCACATGTAGAAAATAATAATGATGCTGGAAAAACTGAGTGTCCACATGGAAAAAGGTATAATTGGATCACTGATTAAAATCAACTAAAATACATGGATAAAAGCAATTAAAAATGAAATGCAACAGGGCCGGCCCTGTGGCTTAGCGGTTAAGTGCGCGTGCTCCGCTGCTGGCGGCCTGGGTTCAGATCCCGGGCGCGCACCGACGCACCGCTTCTCTGGCCATGCTGAGGCCACGTCCCACATACAGCAACTAGAAGGATGTGCAGCTATGACATACAACTATCTACTGGGGCTTTGGGGGAAAAAATAAAATAAAAAAAAAAATGAAATGCAACACTCAAAGTTTTAAAGAAAATATAAATGACTGTTTTCTGAACTTGAGGCAGGAAGGATTTCTTAAACAAGAAAAAAACCTGCTAACCATTAAAGATAAGATTGATGTGTCTGCATTAAAATTAAGAACTCCTGTTCATCAAAGAACATCATAAAAAAAAAGAAGACAAGCCACAAACTGAGAGAACATATCTGTAACATACATAACCCATAAAGGACTGGTATTTGGAATACATAATGAACTCCAACAAATTATTCCTAACTAACCAGGAAAAGGCAAATTAAGTCCACAATGAGATGCTACTTTGTACCTACTAGATTCACAAAAATAATGAAATCTGATAACACCAGGTGTTGAAGATTTGGATCAACAGGATCTCCTATACACCAATGGTGGATTTTCAAAATGTACAATCACTTTGGAAACCAATTTGACTTTATCTCATAAAAGTTGAACATTCACACATCCTGCAATCTTGCAGTGCTCCTAGGATTATATCCTAGAGAAATGATTATATCTGCACACTGTAAGACAGGAACACGAATGTTCATGGCAGCACTATTTGTAATAGCAAAAATCAGGAACAAGGAAAATGCCCAACATCAGAAGGAGACCAGATACATAGACTGTGGTAATTCCATTTACAAGGAATATTATACAGCAGAGAAAAATAAATGAATTACATCTACACACAATATGGATGAATCTTAGAAACATAATGTTGATTGGAAAGAGCAGGTCTCAGAAGAGTATAAACATATGATACCATTTTTATAAAGTTCCAAAACAAGCAAAAATAAATTAAGCAGTTCATTGGTTAGGCACATACATATGTAAGTAGACTTCAAAACTCAAGGGAATTATAAACACAAAATTGAGGATAGTGGTTACCTTTGGGGTGGGGGAAGTGGCAGAATGGGAAAGAGAAGGAACACACAAACTATTGGCAATGTTCTAGTTCTTGTAATACCACAGGTGTTCATTATTAAGTTTTAAAACACAAATGTTACGTATATCTTTGGCATGTGTGAAATATTACATTAAATGGTAAATGAAAAGACACACATCCCCACTGATACACTGACACACACTCAGAGCTCTTCACTGACAGACTTATTAGACATGTGAACACACAGTCTCACAGACCCAGACACATCGATCTAGACATTTCCTAACAAAATGAAACACATCTAAACATGCTGATAGCCATATTCTCAAGACACACAGAGAAACACGAACATATTAAAACACACAAATTAACATGTTCCCAAACATGGGCCCACACACATTCCTACCAGTCCTTTAACCCATGGGGAGGTGCTCCTAAGGGGGTGGACTGGACCATTGGGGAGCTGCGGGTGTTTATGGGCAACTGGACTGGTAGGTCTCCCAGAGAACACCCCAATCCCAGGCTTCCCCAGCACCCACCTGATTCCTGAGATACCACTTTCCGTGGGGCCAGCTTCTTGATCTATGCAGAAAAGAAGCAGCAGAAACTGAAGAGGAGCTGCCACATTTCTAGGTCCACCCTCATTTAGGGGTGACCCTCCAGCTGTATCCAGTGAGTGCCATGACCCCCAACTTTGTCCAGAGTAGCCTGCCCCCGCCACCTCTGGCTCCATACTCACTGGGGGTGGTGGGAGCACAAAGTTGTCTGGGAAAACTCCTCTTCTGCCTTGAGACTCTCCTTCCCACCAGCCCTTATCCTCCGTGGTCTGGGAGAGAAAGACGCCATGGGGAGGTGAGCCAGGTCCCCAAGCTCCTTCCCACCCTTCTCAGCAGGCCCTTCCCTGCACCCTCCCCTGCCCTGTGCCTTTCACACCTTTCTCAGTACTTTCACCTCGTCCCCCCTCCGCAGCGCCAGCTCATCTGGGGCCTCGGGCTGGTAGTCAAACAGGACCCTGTAGGTCTCAGGGCGGGAGACTGAGGGGAGGTCAGTCCACTGAAGCCAAACCCCCCTCCCCAAAGAGTCAGCAGCTCCCTCCTCCATCAGCCTAGCTGGGTCCCTCTCCCCCAAGTCAAAGTGGCTTGGGGGAGGGGGCTCCGAGGGACGTTTTGGCTGGGTGCTTACCTGTCCGCAGGTAGTCTGGAGGGCTGTCATAGGTCAGGCTGCTCAGCTAGTAGGGGCAGGGGGAGGGAGGAACAAGCTGAGCCTCCAACTCCCCTAAGAGGAATTCACCACCTCTGTGCCCACTCCACCCAGTTTACCTTGGGAGGCCGCTGAGGACCAGGGCTGATTGAAGGCATGTCTGGGTTACCAAGGCCTGGTGGGGGATAGTGAGTTTAGGGGGGTGCTAATTCACAGTTTAGATCATGGGAGAGGTCAAAGGGGTCACAGGGTCAGTTCTGTGTGGATTGCAGGCTCAGGCCACTGCAAAGGTCATTGGAGACTGCAGAGTCTGGTCACAGGGGTTGACAAGGTCACAGGGTCCAGGTCTCACTTGGGGGCCCACTGTCCAGCAACTCCACAAAGTTGGACGGGAAGGCTCCCAGCTGCCCGTTCTTCTTCCCCAGCCACCAGCCGTCCTCAATCTGGGGAAGGAGGAAGGAGGCAGGGGCATCTGGTTCTGCCCCAAGAGTCTCTCTAGAAATCTTATACCCTTGGTTCTGCCCCGATTCTCCTCCCTCACTTTCCCATCTCTGCGCCCCTCACCATTCCCATCGCCCACACGCTCATTTTTCCCATATCCTGGCAGCTGGAGACCTGCTCCATCACCTCTCCCCAAACCCTCCCATCACCTCATCCCCTCACCTCCTTTACGACTTCCACAATCTCCCCAACTTGCAGCTTCAGCTCGTCCGCCTGCTCCGGGCTGTAGCTGAAGTTCACTTTGCACCATATTTGGGGGCCCCGAGATCTGGCGGGGCGACCTGGGTCAGATGAGAGTGAGGCCGCCTGAGCCCGGCGCCACAGTCCGCAGAGTGGGAGGAGGGGCGGGCCGCGGGCGCCCCACTCAGTACCTCCAGGCCCCGCCCCAGGGCGGAGCATTGTACTCGAGAGCCAATCACAGCCCGCAGGGTTGCCCCGCCCAGAGCCGCGCCAGTCAAGGCGAGCAAGGGGGGCGCCGGGGCGGCGCTGGCTCCGCGTGTCCGCCCACCTACCCGGCCCTCACCTCGGCGGCGCGCACAGCGCGGTCTCGGCGTCTCCCCGGCGCCGCGCAGAGTCTCCGGGATCTCCTGGGGACAAGGGCACCGGGAAGGGGGCTCTCAGCTCCCTGGGGCGCACGCTGAGACACCCCAGCCCCACCTCCGGCCCGGCCTCACCTGCACCAGGCGCTCGGGGAAGAGGCCACAACGGCCCCCCAGCTCTCCGCGCAGCCAGCCGCGTGCGGGCCCCTCGCACACCTGCCGGACCACGTCCCCGGGCGCCAGACTCAGCTCGTCCTCCTTCTGCGCGCGGTATCTGGTCAGGACCAGCACCTCTGCGGGCGGAGCAAGGGGCGGGGGCGCGGTTCAGAAGGGCCCAGTCGGGGCAGACGGGCCATGGCGCGAGTCCCGGGCTCCACGTAGAGGAGAGCGGGAGAGTGCGGTGCTGGTGTAGGCTTTTGGTGCCATTTCCACACGGTGGCACTGAGGAGCCACCCCAAACCCTCTGCACATACCCATGGCCTCCGGGGCGCCTTTCAGAGCCGGGCAGGGAGGGTAGTGCGGTCCCGCTGGCAGCCGAGTACTGACCCCGTGTAGGGTGGGACGAGCTGCGAGAATGTGAAGCAAAGGAGGCGGAGCCACAAGCCGATAGGTCGGGCTCCAGGTGCCGAGTGGGCGTGGGAGAGGGGGCGGCCCGGCTCAGCAGGTTCCGCCCCCAACCTAGGGGTGAGGACTCCAGGGTCTCTGGTCAGTGCTGGGGTCACAACTCTCCCACGTGCTCTTGCCTGCCTGGTCACCCAAATTCCAGTCTAGCCGCCTCCCCTCACCCTATCTTGGCCCCGAGGCTCCCACCCACCATTTGCACTGCCTTCCTTGGCCTACCCTCTCTGCTGGCAAGCTTTTAGTTGCAGGCGGAGAGGTGGGGAGAGGCACATACCAGGGTGGGGCCCCCCGAGGGCAGCAACCGCTCTAAAAGGGGCCCTGCGTGGAGGGGTTGGTTGCTCTGGTGCACACAAAGCTGTTGTTGGTATACTGTTTTCCCTAGCCCGCGTCAACGAAAGAGAAAGAAGAGCGCCAAGACCCTTGCTTCGGCCCACAGGCCTTGTTGGATTTCAGAAAACACTTCGGATTCTCCTTGGGAGAAGGCAGGAAGGAACTTGAGGAGCTTTCATGGCTCCTGCTTGCTACAGCCAAGCCCACAGCTGGCAAAGGCTGAAGGTTAGAGCCCACCTACTGCCAATCCCATACGGGCAGGGCTAACTTGCAGGTAATCTTCCTGCTGGGTGGTGAACACAAAAGCTGAGCGTGTTATCCACACCCCTTGAACCCGGCCCCACCACCTTGGAAGCCGAAGTCCTTGCTCATGACACTCAGTGAAAAAATCTGGTTCTCCTGGGATGTCCAAGGTACAAGATGAAGCAAAACCACGGGGATGGGAATGAGGAGTCACCAGCCAGCAGAGGAGTGGCTGAGGCTCCTCCCAGAACAACTGAGTGTGGGCTGGTGAGGATGGGGCTGAGCAGCAAGTCTGGGCCCAGCCCCACACACATTTTGTCTTTCAGGTTCCCTGAAGCTGCTGTGATATCCACCCCACCACCCCCAATACACACACACCAGGGTGACAATGACCAGAACCCATTTACATCTGCCACTTCATTTATTATTGTTTTTATTTGCAGGAGGAGTTGAAACAAATTTTAAGGGTGTTTTCATTTTTTTTTCCCCTAAACATGAATCATTCAAGTAAAACCAACTTAACTATAGAAATGTAGCAAAGTAAGGGGAAAGTAGCACAACAACCCAAGAGGCAAGGTTGGGGGGGAAGAGGTGGGTGCAGTCCGCATATAACATATGCATAAATGCCATATGATTCACCTGCTCAGGACCGCCTCCCCAGAAGGCAAGCACAAGGACCCATTTTAACAGGATGTTTTCCCCCCAAACATCTGAGAATGTTTCAACTTAAAGCTTAAGGTTAAAAAAAAAAAAAAAGGAAAAGAAAAAACAAAAAAAAGACCCCACAAACCACCCAGCCATAACCACCTTCCTTAATCGATCATAGGAGTTTCTTTTCATTTTATAAAAAGATTAATAAAAAATATTGAAAAAATTATTTTTTCATCTTATATTTGTAAAGATAATAGAATTCAGAAGTTTCTTAGAAAACAGACCAGAAACTGCTGTCCAGCTTCCACCCCTGTTGCCGAGAGGATCAGCAGGACTGGGAGGTTTGGGATAGTGGAGCTGCTGGTGGAGAATGGGAAGCCCAGCCCAGAAGAAATCAGAAAATATTAGGGTGGGGGACACACATGGGGTGTGGCCAGGAGCAAACCATGGGATACACGGCTGCGCAGAAAAGGGGAACACAAGGTGGTCAGAAAGGCCCTGAACTCCTCCTCGACATACAAAAGCGATTTTACAAAGATCCAAGCAGTTTGGTCCCAAACTGAGGTGAACACTTCAACGTTTATTCACATGCTTTGTTTTCTCTTTTAAGAATCAAAGTTGCCCAAATTAAATCTTTCTGCTAATGTTACTACATATGCCTAGAAAAAAAAAGAAAAGAAAAAGGGCTTTTAAAATCAGGATAAGGGAGAAGAGAATGAAAATCATCAAATAAGTCCTCTTAGCTCCAAATGAAATGAAATGAAGAACAAAACTGTTGGTTTCTAATAGGGAACAAACCAAAATCCAAGAATCGCTCTTCCCTCCCTACCCCAGCCCCCACCCCACACACCAACAACAAATGAGAAACACAGCTAAAACCCAACATGTTGTGTTCTGCTCAAGAGCTGGGCCTGACCCCAGGTTCTGCGGCCGGCCGCCTCTGTCCAGTGGGACGCAGCGCCAGGGATGCTTTCGGCTGTAGCAGGATTCTGCACATCCAGTGGGGGTAGGGGGTGGGATTTTCAGAATCTTCTAGAGGCTCCTCTGTTCAGCTTCTCACCAGCCATCTTCCCGGCGCCTCTCTCCCCTGGGCAGGGGCTCCCGTCAGAGTGGCCCCTACTCAGTTGTGGGCTGTAAATTGTCCTTCTCTTCTCGGTTCTCTGTCCCACTCTCATCGTCTTCAATCTCCCCTTCCTCCCCACTGAACTTGTCATGGGCCCATTTGGGGCTGGTGCTGGATTTCCGGAACATGAAACGGCCCCGACCCCGGGGAAAGGCTCCTCGGCCCCGGCCCCGGCTCACCCACTTCTCACTGCCTTCGCCTTCACGGTCATCATGCTGAGAGGAAAGAAAACCGCCATCAATGCCAGCCAGAGCGAAGCAGAGTAGCCAGAACCCTCTTTTCTGCACCCACTCAAATGTGACTTTCTCAAACCAACCTATGTCCCAACCCACTTTTCGCTCCTTTTCCGTCCTCCTCCCTGTTCTCTTACTCCAAAAATGCTACTGATTCAGATCCATGAGAATATTCAGTTGGGTGCCTTAGGAATTCTAACGCAGTAGCTTGGACATTATAATAATGACCACGATGATAAAGTCCTCACTGAGCACTGAAAGACCTTCACATGCACACTCTCATTTAATCCTCACGTCCACCCTATCATTATCACCCTCCACTATGCAAATGAGGAAACAGGCTTAGGAACTTGAAGTAACTCATATTATTTAGCATACTCATCTCTCCAAGGATAGGTTTGAGAAAGCCAATCCACCAAAACACGAAAAACTCTGTCTGATCTGGGATGTCAGGCAGCTAACAGAGAAAGCAACACTCAGAATACACAGCTGGGGCTCCAGCTCTCCTGGACTCTCCCCACCCCCAGCCAACAACAGGCAGCGAGACCAAGGGCAAATGACCTACCCGCTCATGGTCTCAGACTAATTAGTGGCAAAGGGAGGACCAGAACCTAGCCTCCTGTCTTGTATCTCCCCTCTTTAGTTTTTTATTTTTTTAAGAATTAGATTTAATTTAATTTATTTTTTTGGTGAGAAAGATCAGCCCTGAGCTAACATCCGTGCTAATCCTCCTCTTTTTGCTGAGGAAGACCGGCCCTGAGCTAACATCTATTGCCAATCCTCCTTTTTTTCCCCCAAAGCCCCAGAAGATAGTTGTATGTCATAATTGCACATCCTTCTAGTTGCTGTATGTGGGACGCGGCCTCAGCATGGCCGGAGAAGCAGTGCGTCGGTGCGCGCCTGGGATCTGAACCCGGGCCACCAGTAGCGGAGCGCGCGCACTTAACCACTAAGCCACGGGGCCAGCCCTCCCCCCTTTAGTTTTATGCAAGGAGGCAGTGTGGCAGAGTAGAAAAAACACAACCTTTGTATGTCTCACACAATCCCTGCTCTGATGATCTCATGAGAGAGAAGGAGGGATCCAACGAAAGACTAAATGAGACAGCATTTTGAAAACTAGAAGTCGCTGTTACCTCATCAGCCCCACGGCCTCAAAGAGTCTAAACCATCCACCCACACAATCAGGACCTTAGGCCCCTAGGGGTCAGCTCAGCTAAAGGGCCACTGCTGCTTACCAGGGTTGCTTGGTCACCAGCCTAAACGTATCAGGTCAGCAGTGCTCCTTCAGGTGGCAGATAAGGGCAGGGAAAAGGGCTTTATATGACCTTTAATCCTTTCCCCTACAGCAGTCCCATTCCAGCACCTATTCTGGGCTCGGCCAACATTTCCCTAGATATAGGTTCAAGGGTCCTCTAGGAGTCTCAAATCAGCTCCCAGCAGCCTAGAAAAGCGAAGGTGGCTATGTACAGTTGTCTACACAACCACCTGCTTCCTAGCTGTGCAACTGACAACAGAGACCCATGCCAGCCCTTCTCATGGGTGATGGAGACTCAGCTGCAAGTCTACCTTGGTTACAACACTCAGAGCCACATCTGCTTGGATCTGAGTCTGCTGTTGGCATAGACAGGCCAAGAGAGCTCACCCATTGGCCAGTAATTCAACCTAGAAGAGCCCTAACCTGAGACAGGGAGAGAGGCCCAGAAGGTGCCTAGTATCTAGGAACGACCAACAGCTAAGATGAGAGAAGCCCCAGTGGCATTTCACTTTGGAGACAGATCCTCTTCCTCAAAAAGAGACCCTGAGCTGTCTTTCCCGTCGATCTTGCACTGGGGAGTGACAGAGAGGAACTGTGGCCACAGGGGAAGGTTGTGGTTCTATCCCTGCGTAAAGGCTGGAAGGAGGCTGAAGTTGGGTGAGCAATAAAACAAGTTTACAGACCAAAAGGGCAAGAACAACCCTTCCTGCTTATCCTGCAATTCATAAACATCTTAGATGATAAACCCTTTCAAGGCCAGGGCTGCCTCTCTGTACTGTACTGTACTGGAGTACTGGAACACTCGTCCCAGTACTGGACTGTCCCACAAGCACACATCCTCCCAGTGCAATATGCCTGCACACGTATTTAATCATGGTTTTGGACAGACCAATTAAGGCCTCAGTATCAGCCAATGAGTGTGCCAAAGGCCCTATGGCCCTTCCTGGTTATCCCCACACACATACCAGGTAATACTTCTTGCTCTTGGGCGTGTACTCAGGGTCCCACTCCTCCTCCCGGTTTCTCTTTTGAAAATCGTTGCTGCTGCTGCTGTTGTTGTTACCAGAATAGTTGCCTCTACCCCAGCCTCTCCCTCTGGCTCGAAACTGCTGTGGCAACAAACAGGGAAAAGGAACAAAGGACCATGTCAGGAATGGAAGAAAACAACTCCCCACATTCTGTTCAAACACTTTTCTGGCATGGAATAGACAGTTGTCCTCAGTCAACATGCTGGTCAACTGGTTTCTAGCCATTCCCTCTGCTCATCTCAACCTAAGTCTACAACCTAGACAGAAGACAACATGGCACAAGGGCTCCCCACACAGCACAGTCAAGATAAAGTGGGAAGCTCTGAGATCAGAAGCCCTAAGATGCTTTCTAGCAAAGTGATTATATTTAAACATGGAAAACCTGGGGAACAGGGAGCCACCAATTCTGGGGCCTATAGACCGATTACTTGTATCAAGCGCAACAAAACTGGTATTCTGATACACAGAATTAGAACTGGTGAGAGCAGAGGCTTAGAGAAACGGGGAGGAGACAGGGTCTTACAAAGGTCCCTCGAGCTCTGCCTCCTCTTTCACTTGGACCCACAAAGTCTTTGGTCCCCAGTCTTGATTTGTCAAAGCCCGTGGTGCTCTCCTCTCTCTCTTCTGTTTCCTCAGTGTATTCTTCTGCTTTGTAGGAACGAGATGACTGGGAGGAAGAGGATGATGACCTGGACCGGTCTCGTGCTCTCCGGTGCTTCCTATGAAAACAGAAGAGCCCGGGAAATCAGTAAGTCTCTAGGGTACAGCCCTTGGCTGGGGCTTCACGGATAAATAGCATGGGCAATCAGGAGTGCATCTGTGATGAAGACACTGAAGACAAGTAATCTAAGAAAACCCAACTCGCCCCCAATTTACCCACCCCGGGTACCTGAGGAGCTTCCTCCCAATTCTGTCAGTCATGTTCAGTGACACACCTATGTCTGAGCCTGTGATGAACATGGGACATACACGGGAAGAGGAACAAACAGAGTCCAAGGCCTTTGGTAGCTCAGTCTAACACACATGCGTGAATCAGAAAGGCAGAAGGAAACAAACATTGTATCGAGAGCCAAGATGTATCTGGTACTAGGAAAGAGGCTTTAAATATTACCATCTGTTTGTGCTTTATGTTACTTTTATTTCTCAATACCTGTCTTGTGGGGTTGCTCTAAAGATTAAAAAAACAATATGCTTACATTTGACACTGACATAGCAGGCATGCTGTAAATGGCAACTGTGATTATTCAGTATTATTTCCCCATTTTATAGATACGAGATTCAGGTGACAGAGCCGAGCAGAACCTGGATTCAAACATAGCTCTGACTAATTAAACCACTACTCCACATACCACCTCCCACTGAGGTCAAACAGGTTGTGTTATTAAGCATAAGATTTGGCGAAACTCTGCCCAGAGTTATTTCCCTCCCCCTTCCCTTCATCTGGGGGAAATTACAGACTAGGGCAAATTAGACTAATACGATGAGTCACTGTCTCCGTACTGGAGGTCGGTGCCAGCCCTGCATGTGGTAGTGGAGGAGGTTACCGGCTGCCTCTAAGGTGGCAGAAAGGCCAGGGTCCCAGGAGTAGAGGAGGACTTACAGGGAGAAGACAGCCAAGTGTCAATACCCTATCGTTTGTGTCCTCCCTTCCCTCAGTCCTCCTCCATTATGAAAACCACCTTGCCCCTCTTCCTACCCCCCTTACATATGAGAAGCTCAAGGACTTAAATATTTGAACCCTACTGGCTTTTTCTAGCATTTGCTGATAAAAAAAGGAAATCTAAGTTAACGTCACAGGATTCTTATAACTTAGATGTATAACTCTGACTCCTAGAAATTAGTGCTATTTCAAGACGTTTTCAAAAATAAGACTCCAAAAGGCCTCAGATTGAGTTCCAGCAGTGCCTTTTATTAGGTGTGTGACCTTGGGTAAGTCATTCTTTGGTCATATGAGAAAGAGTTCTTGTAAACTAAAGTGTGACATATGTTGAGAACAATGATATAACGATCACCTTTCTTGCCTCAATCATAGAATACTAGGGTGGCAAGAGACTTGTTCAAGGTTACACAGCAAGTCAGAGGTACACTATGTGTTCTAGAGAAAGGAATCAGGATCAGTAATCCAAACCCAACCTTGAAATGCTTAGGGGTTCTACTTGCTTTCCACCACAGGCAGTGCTGAGGACTACTATCCCCCACTTCCACTGCCTATTGAGGATTATCAGGTCCTATATCTATAGGCAGCCCTGAAAGCTGCTTTGGCTCCTTATGCATAAGTAACACAGTGGAAGGGGAGACCAAGTGGAACAGCAGATCTGAGTTCTGATGTCAGCTGATACTTGTGTGAGCTCAGACAAATCGTTCTGAGCTTAGCTTCTTTGTCCTTCAATTGGCAAAATGGGTATCACACCAACTGTCCAACTTATCTCGAATTGTTATAAAAAAATGCATACGAAAATGCTTGCGAGCTGAAGTTCAGAAACAGCAGAAGTGGTACCGCATTTTATGGAAAGGTGTGGGGCTTGAACTTTGCTACATTTAATGAGACATGACTAAAGAGTCATGGAACTTTCAAAAACGTAAACAGAAATGACAGGACCTTGGCATGAATGCTTCTCTATGAAGTTCAACAATGCTACCTTTGTTTAAAGAGTATTTGGAACACCTCTCTTGGAAGTGTGTCTGTGAAACTAGTTTAAAAGGCATTTAAGATCAACAATCTTGTCCTATCTAGTTCTACCCTGTTTCTTTGACCAAACAGCGTTATTACCTGACAACAACTACGAGCCATTTCTAACAGAGAACCTCTCCGTGAAGACTTGTGATGAACAAAGAATATCTAAAACAACTGCAAAATGAACTTCCAAATGATGCTCCACACTGTCCCTACAGCCAAATTAACTGCTGATCTCCCAGGCGGCCTTCTTGGACAAGGATCACACCTACTTCAATGCAAAAGTTCTGTTTTCAAACTAGGGACTTACTTCACAGTTACATGGTATAAAAGAAGAGACTGCACAAGTTGTTGTCGTTCCTAACCTCAAAGGTCTGGTGTGTAGTCAAACGCGAGCAGGCAAGAGATCCCACTCAGGAGTCTGAAGGGGGTGAGAGACAGGGGCTTACGTACTTCTGCTTCTTTGATCCTTTATGAGTTTTCTCTGTTTTCTCAGCTGATCTTTCCCTCGAGTGGCTTGAGTCTCGGGAATCCACTGATTCTCTTGATTTACCTCGTTTAAGATCTCTCTCCTTATGTTTTTTACGACGTTCAATATCAAGGCGGAGATCAACAGGATCATCTTTGTATTTTCCCTCAGCCTGCCAAGAGAGACATCAAAACTAAGGTTTTTGTGATTCAGGGCTGCCAATTCAACCACCCCACAAACTGTGGTTTCTACTCCAATGGAGTGGTGTAGAGGAAGCACTGGGAATGGGAAGCACCTCACCCAAGCTTGGGAGGGTCAGAGAATGCTCCACAGATGTCACTTCATAAGGATCCCTTACAGAGGCCAAACCAGTTCTCTAAAACAATGATGATGATAGCCTTCTGAAAATGCTATATATTGATCTTGCTTTGTTTGTTTCCTCTATGGCCCAGTAATGACTCTGGCTAGCTTACAAGTTGAGAAAGCCAAAATCAGCTCTGGAAAGTGGCTGGTTAGGCTAGCTCAGGCTCAGTCACCACCAACAGTGGAAATGCTCATGTTATCCTTCCCCTGCCTACACTGGAGCAGCCAAACTCAGGGCTTATCCTCTACTTAGAATTAGCTTTGAGTACTGAGTCCAAAGACAATCAGAGACTTAAGCAGACTTCCAAAATGCTTAGTTATATTGACAAATTTCTCTAGAGAGAGCATATCAAAAACCATAAAGTGGCAATACCAGGTCGAACTTTATTAAAAAAAAAAAAAAGAAAAAGAAAAAAATCTTGGGGCCGGCCCGGTGGCGCAAGCGGTTAAGTGCGCACGCTCCGCTTGTCAAGCCATGCTGTGGCGGTGTCCCATATAAACTGGAGGACGATGGGCATGGACGTTAGCCCAGGGCCAGTCTTCCTCAGCAAAAAAAAAAAAAAAAGAGGAGGATTGGCAGATGTTAGCTCAGGGCTGATCCTCCTCACAAAAAAAGAAAAAAATCTTTTTTGCTAACTTCCTAGGAAGTGTAACTATCAGGGTATGTATGCTGCAGATACAGTATGAGCCCAGCAGCTCAACGGCCTTCCACCCCAAACCATCATGGCAAGGGCTTTCAACGTTCTTGGGAAACTCAATGAGGGCAGAGACATACGGTGGTTAAGGACATTATACACCAAGACTTGTCTCATGAAAGTAAAATGTCCCTAAAAGAGGAAGGAATGAGCAGTTCATGCTGTATTAACATTTTACTTACACAAACTAAGCTTTTTGTTGAAATAAAGTTTAATTTTTTAATTAACAGGAATGGTAGGTAGTAAATAGGTTTATCACGTTGTTTTTCAGAGAGGGAATGGGGCCTCTGCACCCTCCAAAGACAGAGAGAAATGCAGCTGCTGCTCCCTTAGGCAATGCAGACAGCACCTCTAATGAGTTGGCTTTGTGAGGCATATAGGATGATATCTCTTCTGATGTTTCAACCTTGCGTTTCACATGTTTCAAAACCTTGGGTTTCACATGGTTAATGCCAAGCTGGTGGGTACTTGGAGAAAAAGAAAAGGGGGATGGGAGAGAAGAAAGACTGCAAGAGTGCCTCTCATCACATTCAACTAACAGGACAAATTTGTTTGGAAAACTTGAAGATTAATATTTTTAGAAAAGGTTTCAGCAGCATTGGAAGAGCCATCTCTAATTTTAAATTTCAACTGTATATGTGAATGAAGGTCAATAAAAACTAAGATTCTTTAAAAACCCAAATCTAGTATTTCATAGTAAAAGACTGCATACAAGTGTTAACCTCTTAATAACAGTGTTTACGTGCACATCATTGCAAATGTAGCTGGGCTATCAAAGTAATGTTTAGCTTTAAAGTAACAGTAACCGACAGATGATAGATATGGTACAATGTTAGAAAAAAAAACTGGACCAGCTGTTTAAAACAGTCTACGAAGTTAAGATATGAATATTTCACTCTCCCCTGACATGCATGTCTGTTTGAAATCATGGTTGGAAATAGTGCATGTATATAGTTGATTTGATAATACTTACAAGCAGAAAAATATCACAAAAAGTTTCTTCTCTCATCATGGGCACTTGTTCCAAAACTCCTCTCTTTTTTCTCAAGCTCACCTCAATAGACTTTGGGGTCATTTACCATATTCTAACCACTTCACAAAGGTTGTTGATACATTTAATAAAAATTAACCCTTTGTAGTTCATTTTTAGAATTATGCCCATCCTTAAAAGAAAAACACAAACTTAAGTAGAGAGTAATTTAAACAAACACATTTCTGTCAAGTTCATGCCCAACGCACTCATTTTGTTGGAATTACTGATCAAAGCAACAGTTCACCTTGTAGCCAGGTTCCCGGGGACTTTTCATTTCGTCATGAGCCAAACCATGTTTTCTGAATGTACTGGGGGAAATGTCTATCCTCCTAAAATTGAAAACACAAAAATTGTTTAATATTCCATAGTGTGAATATAGTACGGGTAATATTTTAGTTTGTAAGTTGGGTAATGGAATCATAGGCATTCCTTTTTATTATGTTTCGTAACTTACATCCACGTTACTTATATCCTTTGCTTACATATTTGTACTTTCCCACAGACATGCACGTAGGCACACACACACAAAATCCCAACTTCTCAAACTTAAACTGAAGAAACTTCTTATTCCCTCCCTGTACTGTTACAGCCAGAAATACAGACTCACCTACAGCTATGCCTATAATCTCAAATTCACCTCAGGGCTATCTATGCCCTGCTAACCCCAAAGAGCAGTTCTCATCTTGGGAATTAGAATATAATGGCCCATTATTCACCTAGGAGATTAGGTCTAGGTGAGAAATAACTGCCTGGCATGTACACACATCCCCAAAGACCCTAAATCCAAGGCCGTTGTACAAACATGGTTCTCCTACCTACTGCAACAGGTTCAAGAGTTGACTAATAAGGAATTAAAAAGATAAGGTCAACTCTGTTTCTAGACAAAGTCCCTATTTGCTGAATAGACTCTCACAACCAAATGTGATATTCTTTAAACCTTCTGGGCTTTTAAACCCTTGGACATAATCCTCAAGCTTCCCTAACCCCAGCCCCTACCCCGTGCAAATTCGCTCAAAAGAAGTGATATATGAGGGCCGGCCCCGTGGCTTAGCGGTTAAGTGCGTGCTCTCCGCGGCCGGCGGCCCGGGTTCGGATCCCGGGTGCGCACCGAGGCACCACTCCTCCAGCCATGCTGAGGCCGCATCCCACATACAGCAACTAGAAGGATGTGCAGCTATGACAGACAACTATGTACTGGGGCTTTGGGGGAAAAATAAATAAATAAAATCTTTAAAAAAAAAAAAAAAAAAAAGAAGTGATATATGAAATACACGGGTTGCTTAAAGAAACTTAACATTTGTTCTACCTATAGAAAGCTCACTGTGATCTCAGGTTACCATCTGCCAGCTCCAAGGAACACAAGAGTTCATCTACATAAAAAGGGCTGTGTATTCCTCAGGCCCAAACTGAGAAACTTGTAGGCACCGAAGCACATCCTTTCCACTCACAACTACAAATGCCCACTGCTATCCTAGAATCTGGAGGATGTCACCCTGAATTCTGCTGCTAATACACCTAACATGACAAAAACGATGAGTTTAATATCTGATGAACAGTCTTTTATGATGATCTCCAGCGTAAGGCTGAGGTCCTCACCTGTGTATTTCTGGGCTTTTCTTGTTTTTAGCTGCCTCCTGCTCAGTTCCTCTTTTTAGGTATTTAGTAAAGCGTTCATGCAATGTCATTCCTGAGGACCCAAAGTGATGCTCTGTGGGAATTCAAAGGAAAACACGTTATGCTATCAAAGGCAGACACAACATCCAACTCTTCTGCATGAACCTGCAGCCACACAGATGTGACTAAAGTAGTCAAAACCATATAACAAACATACTAAAAAGAGGAAGGAAAAAAGGCTGGTTCAGACACAATCCAATGTCGGGCACTGGATTTCCACTGTAGCTCCCTTATATCCTAGGACATGGATACAGAGAGAGACACCTGAAGCCTACTATCCTTTGAATCAAAGCACCAATTCCTGCTTGAGTTTCAATTTCAGATGGAACCTGTAACTGGCTCAACCAGCTTCTACATCACCTTCTCTTGGCTATTCCCCAACCCGCCCACCTCCATTTGCCCAGGAAATGGTAAAATAATGTGGGGAAAAAATCCATACCACAAGGTCTACAAGATACCTCTAGAGGCTTCCACCTGCTAGACAGGAAAAGACAGAGGTGCTAGAAAAGCCACATTTCATACCTCCTTTCTCAAGCATTTTAAATCTTCATGTGAAAAATTTTACTATTCTCATGATCACAGGTTACTATTAGCATTTCAAAATATTCAGCTCTGTAATTAAAAAATGGAAACTCCTCCCTGGAAGGAATTTCCTTCAAGCCAGGCCCTAGCTTCAAAGGCCCTTTTGATGAGATAAAGGGCCCCACTCATCCTTCTGCTTGTAATAGAGGAAGCTAAGTGGGTGGAAAGGGAGCCTGAGCAGGCTGGGTCTGGACTCACCTTTAACATGGTGAACAATGGTCACTATATGCTGGGCAAACAGTTCTGAGGGGCTCCGCTGAGACTGAGCTGACTGTATGTGCTGGAAAATGGAACGAAACTCCTGTTCCTTTTTGTTGCTATGGACTAGATCCCGACAAAGCTTGCGCTCCTGAGCCAATAAGCCACTGGGTCTGAAAAAGAAACACAGGGAGGCTCAACGTAACAAGATATACAAAAGTCAGAACACTTAAACCCTAAAGATATAATCTATTTTTTTCAAAGAGTTTTAAATTTATCCACAAAGTTCATTCTTCTCTTCCTACCAAAGTTCAAAATAACCTCAAATGCACCATAACTATGGAAAAAGGCATCTAAAATCTCTCTCTCTCCTTTTTTACTGGGAATCTTTAACAGGAACAAATGGGCAGGATGAAGTGTTAAACCTCAGTGACTCTGTTTTTGGGGTCACTCCTGGTTTTAACACACACAACAAACGGGAAGGTATTTTTAAAAGATCGACTAGCTTGGCCAGCCAGGGCCACCCAGTGAAGTGACACAATGAAGCAAGAGGGATACGGCTGGAATGCTGCTAAGACGGACTTCCAATTGGCTACAGAGTTTTTACACCTGGGAAATAGTCAGCCTGGGCCTCATCACTCTTTCCTAAAGTTCTTCCCCCAACCCCAACTCTAAAACTGCTACATCATTAGATATAATAATAGACCTTGGTGACCTAGCTAACAATGGAGAAATGGATCCTGGATGGTTCCACAGGCAAGATTTCAATCTTAAGCACACTTAGGAAGAAACAGGATAATGGGGCGTGGGTGTATGTGTGTAATGAGCTGTATGTGCGTGTGTGTTGGATAGAGGGCAAGAGAGCAGCAGAGGGAACCCAGCATAATGGGTGTGTGTGTGTGTGTGTATGTGTTGGGTAGAGGGCAAGAGGGAACCCAGCAGCAAGAAAGCCAGTCACTACAGACTGAAAAGATGCTTCACCACTTGTGTGATACTGATCCCAACATATAATCGTTCAGTGACACACACTCGCCTCTGAGAACAGGTGGACAGGAGGGCAACAGCACTGAACCTTGGACAGGAAGGGAAATACAGGAGGGGCCTGTCGTGGTTCCAGAATGTCCTCGGGGAAAGGGGTTAGGAGATACCACTTAGGCCACTAAAGCCCTGAGGATCAAGAAGGACTACATCTCACCTTGCAAGGTCCTCATCAAAAGAGTCCATCCGGACATTGACCTGGGCCTCTCGAGTAATGGAAAAGGAAGACTTCCCTGTGGAGAAGTCTCCTTTGGCTCCTGACTTCTCTCGGCTCTCAGAGGTCTTTCTCGGGGGAGGTGATGAGCTTTTCTCCTGGACTGCTTTGTAAGCTGTCACTCTGAAATTCTTTTCAGGCACAAACCCCCTGTGCCCACTTTCGCTTCTCTTGGGCCCTCCCCGATCCTCCTTTTTGGATCTCTCTGAGAAAGACTCCTCCTCCAGCTCCTCTGTTTTCCTTTGCTTTTCCTTCCCTGGAGGTGCATACACCAGGCCCTCCCATTTGCCTGACTTCTCCTCCTCCTGGTTTTTGTTTGCACCTGCTATGACTTTCGACATAAATTTGGGTTCATCATCAAACTCAGATTCCTTCCTCCCCTTAACTTTGTCCTTATCTTGATCATCCATCTCCTCCTTGTGGAAGTCAGCCATCTTCTTCTCAAAGTCATCTCGGAGCTTATACCTTTTGGGAGACTGGCTACCCCGAAAAGGCTTCTCAGTGTCAGTTTTGGGAGCAAACGGATCAGATTTCATTTTCGAATCACCCAAGCCCGCGTCAGAGAAGCTCCCTTTCTCTTTCATTTTCTCCTTATCGGTATTTGTTTGTTTCTGTTCCTTATCTTTTCCATTCTCTGTCTTCTGCTCGTCTAGATACCTAGTTATAAAAACACAAGGGAGACACACAAGAGGTTTCTTAAGAAATCTGATCTAAAACAGTACCATACAGCCTTGGGTTTTTGATTCTCTGAACAAACATGTCTTGTGGATTCCAGTGTTACCAAAGGACTTTCTACTTGGTTACTTTCTAGTAATTTCTGAAAAACTGCCCTTCACAGATTTATGAACTTGGCATTTAAGAGAAAAATACACGGTCCATGGAGTTGTGTCTTACAAAAGCAACCAAAAAGAAAACAGCACAGGTAATTATTAGGATACTAAAAAACAAAAACCTACTTACCCGTAAGTGGTCTAGGAAAAAAAAAATTAAGGTCTTATCCAACCTTCACTCAGTCACTTAAAATCTTTCAGCAAAGTTAACACAGAATGTTCAACCTTGGACTGTTTTGCTTTTATACAACTCACATTTGGAAATACAAGTCTCAAAAGAGACTTCAAATTTGCTTCAAGTCACCTAGAAGATCTAAATATGAAATATACTGTGAACACAAATAAAAACAAAATACATGTTAATTGGGGGGAGGGGACAAAATCATCCTACTCTTTCTCATGGTAAAGCAGAACTCATGCCCAAGTTGTCTAATGAGATTCAGAGTCCTGGCAAGGAACAAAACTCATATTTAAAGTAGCCTTACTGAAGGCTGGAAAGTACAGATTCTGAACACCTCATTTGTACCATTGATGGAGAACGTCTAATCGAGTTATAGTTGTATTAATATGGCAAAGAAGAATCAAAGGTCAGCAGGGCATCAAAGAACATGCTCATAAGAGAAAAGAAAGAACAAGGGAAACCACCTGCCCAGCTAAGTCCCTCCTGACAACCTGGTCCCAATGCAACTTCCCCGTTAGGTCTCTGCCATCCCAATCCATCCAACCACAAAAACCAAGATTCAGGTTCCAACTCACCATGTCCCCCAGGGTAGAAAGACGGAAGCACTGTCACATCCTCTCCTAACACGCAGCCTGATTGGCTTCTACTGGGACATACACCCACCTTGTGATTTTAAAATAAGGCCTTCCTGGACTAAGCCTTGGACTTTCCCATTCTGCCCAGTCTCCTCAACTGGAGGCTGTGAGGGTGCAGCTCTTCACCATGATGTGCTGATGCAGATCGATCACAGTAGCTGGTGGGTCCTAGAGGGTCTAACAGCTCCAATGGCCTTTCACTTTGGCAAAGACCATATTTTTTTGATAGCCGACCCACAAATCTCTACTGTTCTCTGGCTTACACTGGTAGAATCCAAGGCAAATTTTAAATGTGAAAACATCATTGCAGAGTAGTCTAAAGAAACTTTATGCTGCAATACAAACTCAGGAAGGTAGGAAAGCCAGAGTTAAGCAAAAGGTTTCCTTGGGTGATGCTTTTCAAGTCCGCTAATGAAAAGTCTAGGAAATGGGGGTTACCTCATTACCACTAATCAGAGCTCTAACTTAGATCACATTACAATTAAACCGCCAGCTGGTGAGAGAAAAACACAACCAGGCAGGGGAAACAAGACACTTGCCTCTTTGTATAGGCTGCTCCTCCTGAAGCAGCAGCCTCTTCCTTCTGAGATGAGCCATACGTGGAGCCAGTGGCCGGTGGACTCTTACCCACAGGGCTCTTTTTGGATGGACTCAAGGACCCAGAACCATGGTCAAACTGACCTTGGTGTGTCCCAGCCTGGTACCCAGCACCACTTTGCAGAGTTGAGCCCATCTGGGATGTGCTGGAAAGTGGAGGGCTAGGTTTTGGCACCGGGCTAGGACGGGGTGACCGCCGCCTCACCACCACAGACTGGAGGGGGCTTTTGAGAGCAGGGCTTCGCTCCCGAGGACTCAGCTCAGAAACTGCCGAGGCCCGTGATGCAGAACCAGCACTGTATGTAGTGGCATCTGGCCATGGCTTCGAGCTCTCAGATGCTTTTGTATCTTGAGAGGGGCCTCCAGAGAACGTCTGCTCCTTGGCCTCGTCTCCCTGGTTATCCCCAGCAGCCTGAGATGGCCGGCTATCCTTGGAAGAGGACTTTTTCTCCTTCGCAGACTTGCGCTTAGAAGATTCAACTCGGCTGTGGTTGGAGGAAGAACGAGAGGATGAGGACCGCCTTGACCTGTCAGAGGAAGACTTATCGGAGTTTCTAGAATGGCTCCTGGACCTTGGTGAAGGGGACCTTCTCTTTGGGGACCGGGATCTGGAACGGCCCCGACGCGGACTGTATGCTTGCCGGTAATTCTGCCAATTTGAACGGTAGTTTCCATAGCCTCCTCGGTTATACTGGCCCCAGGGATAAAAGCCTCTGTTGCGCCCACGGAAATAATAGGGCCTTCTATAGCCTCTGTTGTGACCTCGGAAATCCCGATTCTGATATACTCTTGGGTGATTTCTCTCTCTGTTATGAGCTGGAGAATATGATCTGGAACGAGACCTAGAACTGAAAAGGGGGACGAAGAGGGGAGAAACGTTTGAATTTTTGACACAAGCATTTTTATTCAAGAAAAACCTGCCAACAAAGAGGAAACATTTTTAAATCCCTGCTCTTATGTATCATTTATTTTCAGTTTTGTTTTTAAAGGCACAAGCTTATATATTTAATACTTCTGCTTAAGGCCCATATTAAGTACAAACATATAAATAAGAATCACTTTAACAAATGTGACACCGAGATTGCTTCATTAATACTGTAACACAATTTCAATGAAGACAATGTATTTCTAGTAACTGAAAGAATATCAAAATGTTCTTAAGGCAGTAAACTAAACAAAGACCATTTTAATACAGTATAGTAATTGCTTATAGTTTCAGAGACGCAGGGGATTTTACAGGTCCAAGAACTGCAAGCTGTGGTATCCAGACAGGGAACTACTCAAGTCCTCTGGCCCCTATGCTGTTATCATCTCTACTCCCCATTCTACTCAGCCCTCTCTGTTTTGGGCAGGGCTAATTTCTTAGATGCCACTAAGATCTGGGGTTGTAAAAACACAGTTACAACAGACCTAAACCAAAGAACACTTCAACAGGAACTTGGAGAATGCATCTGTTTAAAGCTTAAAAGAGGGCCGGCCCGGTGGCGCAAGTGGTTAAGTGCGCGCGCTCCGCTGTGGCGGCCCGGGGTTCGCTGGTTGGGATCCCAGGTGCGCACCGACACACCACTTGGCAAGCCATGCTGTGGCAGCATCCCATATAAAGTGGAGGAAGATGGGCATGGATGTTAGCCCAGGGCCAGTCTTCCTTGGCAAAAAGAGGAGGACTGGCAGATGTTAGCTCAGGGCTGATCTTCCTCACAAAAAAAAATAAAAATAAAAATAAAGCTTAAAAGAACTTTAACTGAAATTGGATCAGCAAAGGACATAAATATTGGTTTTTTACTGGGGACCTGGAAATGGTCTCACCATTTAGAACGTCAAGTGTCTGTGGCTAAACTACAAATCTCACCTAAGTGCCACAAGAGGGCACCATCTGACCACAGGACACCCAAACCCACAGGTTAGCGAAGGGGTACTACAAAAACAATCCCCCCAGTTGCACATCTTTCAAGTCAACCTAAAGCCTAGTGTTGTGTTCTTCTTCATTTAACAATATAGAACTCTAATTTAGCAAAGGTATATTTCCAGAACCCCAGGGATTCCACAGTTACCTAACTTTGTAAAAATTACATGTTCATGAATGCCAGGCTTGTCAAGACAGGGTGTTTTGTTTCCATCAAAAAGCCAAAAACTATATTTGTTGGTGTAAAACTCCACTAGTGTTCTTGGACACCACTTGTCTTGTCCACTACAATACAGATCATTAACATTAACCTCTACTCCTAAGTAGTTACCTAGAAACATGTAAAAATTACTAAAAAACTCTTTCCAAAAATATTTTCTTTACATATAGAATAAAAACCCTTCAGCTAATCAGCAGGCCTTCTCATGTCAGGCCTGACTGGGAAAGGATGCGGTTTGGTTGCTTGTTTGTTTTATAAATAACTCTATTTAGCAAATGTGACAGGTTTTAACAACCTAACAAAATGGTATTTTTAAAAAGAAACTTACATTTAATTTAATCTAAAGAAGATAAAGTGGGACTGGTTTTCCACCACTAACTACCCATAGTGCTCAAGGTCTTTACCCCAAGAACAACAGCAACCGACAAAGATACATCACACTGCTGGCTGTTAATGGTTGCTATTTAAGTACAATTTTAAAAAACCAAAAACTTACCTTCTACACTTTTCATTTGAAAACAGTAACAATATAAGAAAAGAAGAAGGGAGAGGCAGATGCAGGCTATGAAACTGAATACCCGATTAAAGGGCTATACTTGAGGGAGGTGATGCAGACGAGCACTAAGGAGAGTTTAACTCATGTTCCCATCCTCAGAGGCTACTGTTGCTTCTGTCACCAATTACTAGTGAGGGCCCTGTGGCATACTGCATCCAAAACCCGCAGTCACTGCACAGATGCAGGAACATGAGTCTCTGCAGATTGCAAATGAAGTTATTTACAAGAAGTCACTTAAAAGGATACAGTCTGTGAAATACAAGGAAACAATCAATTCTCTCCAATTCTGTAGAACTCAGCAGTTAACTTAATTTAAAGGCATGGTTTCTCAAACTCTCTGGATAGTATACTTTCCTTGTAGGAGAAGGAAAACAAAAGAAAAAAAAAACCGTAAAACAGATAAGCCAGAAATAAAAATTAAACATCCAGTGGCAAATTTATCTGTTTCTAAAAAAACAGAGAAGTCAGACTAGAATTAAGTATAAAAACATGTTCCAGTGGAGAAATTCCTCCAAAATAACAATCTTCTAGGTATAAGATAGCACATAAAGTGGCTCTAGACCTACCCCAGCACATATTGCCTGCCTGAGATGTTTTTCCCTCATTTGCTAAGTCAACGACCATGCCAAATGATTTTCAGAATGAGAAGAAATCTGTCCCAACAGATCTGCCCAGAATCCCAGCTGTCATAAAAACTTTAGAGATGGTGACCATTTTTCAGTGTGGTTTGTATCAGTTCAATTGTCTCTGTTTTGGTTGTATAGCCTCTAGCAGGTTACCTTTCAGAACCAAATGAGCTAAAACTGAGGTTTAAAAGGCCCAAATCAAAAGACTCCGGGTACAAGGCAGGAGGTACTAAGACTGCTCAGTCCCATGGCCTTGACAGCAACTTCCTGAGGTAATATAAATATATTCAGTGGGTTTTCCCTCTTCTTTTCTTGCGGGGTGAGAAAGTGGGATAAAATTTTACTATGTAGACTCTGACACAATTGGGCAACAGACAGACTCTAGCCTAGGGCTTGAACAAAGTTTGGTATGAAGATGCACGCCCGGGGCCGGCCCGGTGGCACAGCAGTTGAGTTCTTGCGCTCCACTTCAGTGGCCTGGGGTTCGCAGGTTCGGATCCTGGGCGCAGACTGGTGCACCGCTTGTCAGGCCATGCTGTGGCGGCGTCCCATGTAGGGCAGAGGAAGATGGGCATGGATGTTGGCCCGGGGCTGGTCTTCCTCCGCAAAAAGAGGAGGATTGGCATTGGATGTTGGCTCAGGGCTAATGTTCCTCACAACAAAAAAAAAAAAAGAAAAAGAAAATGCATGCCCAAGAAACATGGGAGAGAGAAAAAAGCTAGGACGGGTTAGCCTCAAGGTATGTTATCTTTAAAAAAAAAAAAAAAAATCTAGTGTTACTTTTGTTGGAGGAAAAAAATCAAAGTTTATAACTTCCTATTCTACCTTATACTGGAGTCATCAATATTTATGCACAGCTACTTTTTGTTCAACCTCTAGTCTGAAATTAATTTTCAGGCAGGCTTCTCACAGAATTCATTGAAGAATTAACTTCTGGGGCCGGCCCAGTGGCATAGTGGTTAAGTTCACGTGCTCTGCTTCAGCGGCCCAGGGTTCGCATGTTTGGATCCCAGGTGTGGACCTACTCACCGCTCATCAAGCCATGCTGTGGCGGCGTCCCACATCCAAATAGAGGAAGATGGGCATGATTATTATTAGCTCAGGGCTAATCTTCCTCAGCAAAAAGAGGAAGATTGGCAACAGAGGTTAGCTCAGGGACCAAGCTCCCTCACCAAAAAAAAACAATTAACTTGTTCTTGTTGGGAAGAGGAAAAAAAAAATTCCACCAACTATTTGTTTAATAGACTCTTTTAGAAGTACTATAGGACGATGGAAACCATCAAGAATAAAGCTTAACGACAACTTTTCCTGAGGTTTATTTTAAATTTCATCACCAATTCACTTAGGAAAAGGATCATCTGAAATAAACAGCAGGGGTCCCAAGTGGGCAAAACTGAGAAATTATCTCCTTGCCCAGTGCAATTCTGACAAAAAGAATGAAATTGGGCAAAAATTCCCTTTTGGTATTTAAACACAGCAATATTTCCCTAAATAGAGAAACTTCTATCTACTGAAAGGTTCTTATCTACTCACAAAAGAAAATTAAAACAGTTTTAAAGAATGAAAAAACAAACTCACAACACATCAAAAGAGGAAAAAACATTGGAGGTTTGGCATCCTATTCCAAGACATAACTGAAATAGGGAAATCCACCTAAAGGTATGAAAACTGACTGAATTAAAGAACATTGGCAATAAATTCAAAAGAATTTAGTAAGACAAACTCATGTCTACAATAGTGATTTTTAGATAGTTTTAGGATGCCTTTTACTAAATAGATGCAGCTTGTTAGTAATTGGCACCCCAGGTGTATACAAATGACTCCTGGCAAGTTTTTTAAGGTTTAATTATTTTACTGGGTTAAAGCTTCCTTTCCTTGCAATGTTGATCATACTATTAACCCTCTTAGCTATCCTTTCTTTGCTGATGATGAAAATAAACTTTGGTCCAAGCCTCTAAAAATACTTCAGTGAAAAATAATCAGGTGTAGAGATTTGAAGCAAGCAGATCAAATAAAAATAAAATGCTCTTTCTTCCAAAGTGGATGAGAAACAGAATGTGCTGGCAGAGGAGAAAAGGAATTAGGCACACAGCACGGCAATCAAAGCTGATTTAGATTTGGAGCGTTTGAAGAGACGTGGAATATCTTACAGCCCAACCCTCCACCTCAAGCCAACCTCCCACTCCACTTGACACAGAAAAAGTCTAACAGAAGATCTTCAAAGACCCACAGGGACCACTGCAATAATTATCTCAACATACAATCACACCCCCTTACCTCAGCCTGCGCTTCCTCGAACGAGAGACAGATCGACTTCGGGACCGAGACTTTGAAAATGAACGAGAACGAGATCTTGACGCAGATCTTGACCGAGAAGAGCGAGATCCAGACTTGGATTTGTTTGTTTTTGACATCTCTGAGAAGAGAGGGTCACTCTTCAATTACACCTAATGTAAGAAAATAGATTCAAACAACTGAGTGAGTTCCTTTGCAAACTTGAACTTCTCTGGACACCTAGAAACAATTTATTTTAAAAAAAACAGACAAAATGACTGATTAAAAAAAAAAATGACTCTTTGCTCTTTCATCAAAGAGGATTTCTAAGCAGTACAATCCCTAGGAGACCAAGCCACAGCAGCAAATGGAAAACCTGATATGAAACTCCAACTGCAGAACACTATGAAACATTGACAAAAATGAGGAGAGCTATCAATGATTTGGTACACACAATCTCTTCCCAATAAGCAGACAAGATTTGTGAACTAAGTTAGCTGTTAATAAAAGTACTGAAATGACCTGAGACAGGTTTCCCAGTTCTAACAGAAGAAACCCTATGCAATGATATCTTGGTTATACAGAGTATACAGCACATCTGACTATTTCTCTACTCCCTCAACCTTGAAGCCATGAGGCATACCCTTAATATTTACTTCCAAGGAAAAGGTTTAAAAAGCATAAGAGAGTATTCTCAAATATTCTAATACCATGACAGCATGTACTACATCCTGTAAAATACAGGGTATTAATCCATAAACAGAGGACTAAAGTAATATATAAAATGAAGAACTGCCTCTTTCTTCTAGCTCTTCTTTAGCATCAAGAATCAACCTTCTTTTAGGACCATTTTCCCACGAAAAAACAAAATCATCTTCCCCTTTCCCTCCTCCTCCACAGGAATGAACAGAGAGCCTCAGAGTTGTCCCCACAAGTGATTGCTGGGTTTGGTCAGCAAAGGGCACTATCAACCCTTTTCACTTACTCTCCTTTACACCCTACTAGAACTTTGGGCATCTTCCAAGGAGCAAACACTTGAAGTGCTATAGCATGTGTCTATCAAAGACCAGGAAGAGTAAGGAATCAAAGATCACAAAACTAGTTAATAACCAAACCAGACCAAAACTCCAGGGCTTATTCTATCACCTTCCCCTACCTCTCAGATTTTCCTGTTGTTCAGATCTCGGCTCAAAAGCTATCTCCTCAGAGGTTTGCCCGGCCACCCATCAAAAGTAGTCACCCAGTCATTCTCCCAGGTCTAGTCCAGTACCTTGTTTTTTTTCTTCAGAGCCCTAAATTCAGTACTTGAAACTATCTTGTTTACTTTTTTGTTATTCCATCTTTATCCAACTAGAATGTAAGCTCTCTACCAGCAGAAATCTCATCTTTCTTTCTTTCTTTGGCGGGGTGTGTGTGTGTGTGTGTGTGGCTTAGAAGACGACTATTTTATTATCTTACAGTTGGAGGTCAGAAGTTCAAAATGGGTCTTACAGGGGCTAAAACCAAAGTGCTGGCAGGGCTTGCATTTGTTCTGGAGGTTCTAAGGAAGAATCTGTTTCCTGCCTTTTCAGCTTCTAGAGCTGCATTCCTGGGCTTGTGGCCGTTCCTCCATCTTCAAAGCCAGTAGCAAAGCATCTTCAAATCTCTGTCTCTGCTGCTGTCTTCATACATTCCCTTCTCTCTTATAAGGACCCTTGTGACGACATCGTGCCCACCTTGACAATCCAGGATGATCTCTCCATTTTAAGATCTTTTTTTGTGTGTGTGTGAGGAAAATCAGCCCTGAGCTAACATCCATGCCAATCCGGCCCTATAATGATGTTTTTAAAATTAGTTTCAGGGGCCGACCCCGTGGCTTAGCGGTTCAGTGCGCGCGCTCCGCTGCTGGCGGCCCGGGTTCGGATCCCGGGCGCGCGCCGACGCACCGCTTCTCCAGCCATGCTGAGGCCGCGTCCCACGTACAGCAGCTAGAAGGTTGTGCAACTATGACGTGCAACTATCTCCTGGGGCTTTGGGGAAAAAAAGAAGGAGGACTGGCAATAGATGTTAGCTCAGGGCTGCTCTTCCTCAGCAAAAAGAGGAGGATTGGCATGGATGTTAGCTCAGGGCTGATTTTCCTCACACACACACACAAAAAAACATCATTATACCTTGAGAATTAAGTGGAATAACTCTGGATGATATAAAACCACAGATATAAAACCACAGCAGGAAATAAATCAAACAATTACTTAACTCATTCAAGAGGACTCTAGACAGCAGATAAACAATGGTAAATTAAAGTAGACTTAGTGCTGCCTTCAGGGGGCTTATAATCTAGAGGTGCAGGTAGACAATATGTAATGACAAATTCTGGTAAGCGCTAGGACGAAGACAAAAAGCACATAATGTTGGCAAATTTATGCACTGTGGCAGTGACTTATTTAGATAAGATGGCCAAGAGGTGGCATTTAAGCTGTCACCTGAAGACAAAGAAAGAGCAAGTCACATGAAAAGAAAGGGGAAAGGAGTGTCCAAAAGACATGAAGTTTTTTCTCTTGATATACATAAATATATTAAAATATATATACATTTTAGTATTAGGTAAGCACAATCATAACTAAAGCCATCTGATCAAATTACCAAAATTCATTTAAAACAACTCTCAATTCTATTTTGAAGACTTTTAGACTTCATTGTGATTACACATACTTTTTCCTATTTATAACATTTCTTCCATGTCCATATTCTAAAAATATATTGGGAAATGAAAAAGACAAATACCAACTTGGAAATCAATTTAGTACCTTTTACATGTTACAAGTACCTAGCATTTGGTTTTTGTTCAAACTAAAATTTTCCCAAAACAAAGTTCTGCTTCTTTAACACTGCCCACTCTTCCTGGAGATGCTGTTTCATTGAGAATATTATGAAAAAGTCCAGTCTCTACAGAAGAACTATGGCATAACATGACAGCTCATGGCTATGAAATGTGCCTCAGGTAAAAACACATCCACTCAGGGGTCAGCCCGGCGGCGGGGTGGTTAAGTTCACGTGCTCCGCTTTGGCGGCCCAGGGTTCGCAGGTCTAGATCCCGGGCGTGGGTGGACTTGTGCACCTCTTATAGAGCCATGCTGTGGTGGCATCCCATATAAACTAGAGGAAGATGGGCACGGATGTTAGCTCAGGGCCAATATTCCGCAGCAAAAACAGGAGGATTGGCAACAGATACTAGCTCAGAGCTAATCGTCCTCACAAAAAAAAAAAAAAAAAAGTCCCCTCAAACATAACTATTTTGGATAAAAAAAATTCTTCTCACAATTAAGGTAAGGTAGCCATGTTCCTACACCAGCATTATAAAAGAATCCACCAACTGAACAAGTACTGCTCAATACTTACCATCTATTACGTGCTTGGCATGTTAGGATGCAGAAATATAGGACCTAGTTCCTAAACTCCTAGTCAAGGGCCTGGTATGATCCAAATATCCTCAGCTTTCCCACATTCTTCAGATGACGTAGTTTCATATCTACAATACTACCTGTTTGCCCCTGAATCAGTTTGTCTTCCTTCACTGGGATACTCAGAACTTAATGTAATTCTCCAAACGTGGCCTAATACAGAACTATTTAGACACTATTACTGCATCCTAAAATTTACCTTTCTGGCAGCCACACCACGTGTTGAGTCAGTGTGAGCTCAGTCACTAAGCCCTGAGGTCCCTTCTCATAAATCCTTCTGCAGCTGCAAGATGTCCTCCTCCTCCATCTTGTCTTTATACAACTGTTGTTCTATTTCTTTTTCCCCCCCTTTTACTTAAAACCCAAGAACAGAATTTCAAACAGCCTTTTGAAATCATTTCAGATACACTTGGAGCAAGGGGGTTCATTTTCAAGCTGTTCTGCAGAGCCACTTGAGAGGACAGTTTCCAAGCCCATCACCCTTTTCAAAGCCCAAGCCTTTCTACCCAAACCACTTGTCTAATTACAACCAGATCAATGGTCCTTGGAAGAAGACAGCTCTTGGAAGAGACGCATTTTACTTAAAACTAAACAAAAGTCTTAAGAGATATAATGACATGGCTTTTATATCATTAAAAACACAGATCTTTTCAACTCCAAGAAAAAGGGATAATATTGACAGAGAAGGCCAAAGTAAGCTTCTCCAAATTAATAACTCGCAAAGATAAGGAAGAATTAAATTACTCCTTCTCCCTTCTCATTCCAGACTGCAGTTTCTTCTTAGTGCCCCTAGTGACTATGCTAGCATGGTGCTTGGCACATGGCAGGAGTCTGCTGAATTGACCAGAATAAACATTTTGGGAGTATTTTCTAGTTTGCCACATGTTCAAGCTACATATGAACTACACAACTGTCCTTCAGTCCATAAATACTAGGTTCATATTCAAAAAGATCTTCTCAGAGAAGACTTAGCTGTTTATTTTTATAGAAAAAGGATTTACTAGTCAAGCAAATAAAAATGTAAGGCAAACATACTATAACCTGAAAACAAAACAGTAACATAAAATAGACCCAAAGCATTCCTAATATGTAAAATCAATTCAAAACTAAATCCTTTAAAGCTCTCTGAAGCCATGGAAGGATATGGAAATTGAGTTGGGCCAGGGAACGAATGCCTATGGTGAACAGTTTGATCTCTGGCTATCTACCCCTAAACCGTTCTGAATGGCTTCACTGCTGTAAATTAATGTCTGTACAGAGCTCTGCTGAGCAAACTACTCTTCTTCTTTTCTCATTCCCATTAATACCAAACTTACTATCTCACAGGATATTCAATTTCTTCAAGAGATCTCATGTACCTTAAAGAGCATATTCAGAGCATTTTTTATGGTGTTAACTCTCATATCAATGTCCACATTACAAACATGTTAAGACCAAAGTACTAGGTATCCTCTTGATAAACACCAGCCTCTTTTTCTAGTAGTACCAACTGCTTCCCTACACCAGTGCAGCATACAGAGGTGCCTTCATCTTATTTTCTTAGGTTATCAGAATGTATTAACATCATGAAACTTTGATTACTAATTCTTACTCCAAGGATTCATGACAGAAAAGCCAAGTGTTAATTCAAGAAAGCAGGAGGAATAACATTTATTTTAATGTTTAATTTGGATTATAGGACCCAAATAAGATCTAAGCCTAGAGAATTTCAGGACAGGACAGATGAATAAATA